TAGAATTAGAATTTAGAATAGAATAGAATAGAATAGAATAGAATAGAATAGAATAGAATAGTTGGAAGGGACCTTGGAGGTCATCTAGTCCAGGGGTCGCCAACCTTTTGGACCTCAGGGACCACCAAACTCATCATTTTAAATCCTGCAGACCAGAAACCCTGGGAAAAATCCCCCCAAAAGTCTGCAGGAAAATCCCCCACCCCGTTTTCCTACCGATCGATTGTTCTTTATTTGGGATCGCAGGATACCGTCTCCAGCTCCGTTCTCAGGGGGAAAGAGAGAGAGAGAGAGACTTTTGGCTTCATGCAAGGAAAGCAGCAGAAGCAGCAGAAGTCTTTCTTTCTCTCCCCCAAACTCCTCCAGAAATGAGTGTTTGCCGGCGCAGCTTCTTGGAGCAGGAGGCCTTGCAGGGTCCCAAAGACTCATTTCTGGCAGAGTTTGGGGGAAGAGAAAGAAAGACTTTGGCTGCTTTCCTTGCATGCAGCCAAAAGCAGAAGAAGAAAGAAGCGGAAAGAAGCAGCCCGGTGGCCAGGCCAGACTTGTGGGGCGCGTGGGACAAGTTCCCCCCCTCCACCCCTTTCCCCCCTCCCCTCACTCCCTCGTGTTGTTCACAATGCAAGTGACGCAAGCTTTGTGTTCCCGCGGGCCATGTGGACAGCGCAGCCTTGTGTTCCCGCGCAGCCCCGATTAATTCCTTTGGGGAGGACATTTCTCTGCAGACCACCATTTTCTCACGGACCACCAGTGGTCCCCAGCCCACCGGTTGACGACCACTGGCCTAGTCCAACTCCCTACTCAGGCAGGAAACTGATATTTGTTTAAGGACCCCCACAAAAAAAAATAAAAAACCAGAAAAATGGATCCAGTCATTACAGTCATCATGTCTCACTACCGTGATTGGCAGGCTCAATGACGGTCGTAAGTCAAGGACTCAGCCTGTACTGCATTTGGGGGATTTAACCTCCTACCTGTCCACCACAAGGTTTCCATCGTTGGTTCGCAGGGCTGTCCACATATCCCACAATTCGGCCTCCGTAGGCTGCGTGTGCGGGCCAAAGACCTCGGCCAGGCTGGAGGGATTCAAGAAGAGATGGATTAGCACTGTAGGATTCACACAAACTAGCCCCCCCAAGCCCACCACTCAATACTCTTGAGTAGTTCTCCAATCCAAATGGTTTTCTATGGGCTTCAATCTGATGATTAGGGCTCTAGGAAGATTAATTGAGGATCCTTAAATCTAGAACAAATTTTCTCAAACTTACACCTTTGAAGACATGTGGACTTCAATTCCCAGAATTCCCCCGTCAGTTTCCTTTAAAATGGGTGGACTTCCACTCCCAGAATTCCTCAGCCAGAAGGCTTTGAG